TTCGACATGTTTCGGTAGATTTAATTGCATTATTTTAGACTGATGGTCATATTTAGAAGTATTTCGGTAAATTGAGTACAATATTTTTTTTGTAGATTTGTGTAGTATTTCAGACGTATTTCGGTAGATTGGTTGCAATATTTAAGATGCATGTCGGTATATTAATTGCAATATTTTAGACGTCTGTCAGTTGGATAAATACCGATGGATTCATTGGAATATTTTAGACGTAATTATGTAAATTGTGTGTCATATTTTAGATGTATATTTCGGTAGATTGATGGCAATACTTTAGTCGCATATCGGTAGATTAAATATTTTTATCAAAATTCTATTTTAACTTAGTTTTTTTGGGGGGACGGATAAATGTGATACTACTAAAGACATTTCTTAAATCATGACTTCTTTGCATCACTATAAAATCGAAACTTATGGAATACTTTGTGAAATGTGCGAAAATGTAAACTGAGAAAACATGACGATGTTGTGAACGTTTGGAAGAAAACAATTTTTCGTTTGAAGATTTCGACACTTTAAAACAAGGAATGTTCTATCTGAATAGAAAAAAAAATTATACATTGTTACAACTACTCTAATCGAATGCAACCTTTAAGTCAATGTATTGAAGTCAGAGTCGGAAATAACACATGAATCAGAAACCTTGATAATAAGTGATATTTGCTATATATATATATATTGCTTATTATTAAGGTTCAAATCATGTTTAGGTGGTGAATAATGTATAACCATAAAATTCATAATTGAGTATTTAACTGGTGGACATTGGTTTCGTGGCCGTTTATATCTTGCTCATTGTTTAAGGCCGTACAGTGACCTATAGTTGCTAACTTCTACGTCATATGATCTCTGTTGGATAATTGTCTAATTGGCAATGAACAACAATAAGCAAAACCCGTGACGTTAAAAGCCATAAAAGGCTAGATTTATGCATAAAACAATAAACGAATAACAAATATGATATACAAATACAAACACGGAACTGCATTCATTTGTCGCATTGCCAACCTTTTTTCAAAGATTGTAAGGGATTTTATTTTACAAATTTACAAAACAACGATCTTCCCATGTTATGTAAATTTTAACTCATTTCGGATACTTTATATATATTTTTTTAGATATTTTGATTATAAATTATAGTTCTCCATTCATTTATAATTATCACTATCTATCAAGAGTTTCGGGTTCGATTGATAAACTGCCCATCGGATTTGCTGCGCTTGAGGCACGATTCCGAATTGACTTTTACCAGGAATGTCTACATATCATTATCATCTGTTTTTCTGCACAATGCTTCCGAAAATACAAATTTTCGATAAAACGCCCATTCTAACATGACGTTCTTCAAACGCTTTGAGTATTCACCCGTGGTAAAATATGAATATATTGTTTGGGCTGTTCCGATCGTACTCCCGCGTCATATGCCTTTATATGAATGAGCTACCCGACGTCATAGAACGATGACGTAAGAATATAAGCATTTTACGAGAAAATACACGCTTGTGAAACCGAAAATCATCACAACAAGGAAACGTAAACAAACGATGCTAAAATGTGTTATATAAGCCATTTTTTGTTTACATATAAGACATATAAATACAATTATCATTTAGATTCATCCAAACCTATCTAAACATGTCATTGTAAATAGTTGAAACATGTCATTTATTCAGTTTGCTACGTTCTTTACGTCAATTTAATAGTGCGTTTATTTATGGGAACGGCAAATAATGCCTTCATCTAGAGCGCTTCGATCCAAAAGAATTGCAGTATTTGTCCTATTAGAATCGAAATAATTCATGGGGCTTGAATATATCGTGATTTTACCACGGGTTGTCCCTTTATGCCGATATTTTACCCCTCGCTATCGCTCAGGGTAAAATATTTGTCATAAAGGGCCAACCCGTGGTAAAATCACGATATATTCAAGCCCCCATGAATTATTTCTTAATTAATCGTTTTCTCGGTTCGCACATTGCGCACATTGATTTATGTGTAGTAAAAATGTAAATTAAATACAACAACACACAAGACTTCCTTTAATGAATTTACATAAATGTTGACACCAAAAACAAAAAAAGGAATGCAATTGTTCCTTTGATGATCTTTTATTTCACGGCTACGGAAAATGCGGACAATCAGCACAACAATGTTTATATATCTATACAATGTAAATGGTGACATGAGGCTTCAAATGGAATTCCTCTTCACTACACCACTACTTAAATTTTAAATGCAGTCTTTGAGATCTGTTGTACTTATAGTGGTTTAATGATTGATTGTTTCTTCCTGGCCGTTCAGTGGCAAATATGTCATGCGTAATCAAGACTTTAACAATAATATTAACAATTTATACGAAAGGTAGGTTCTGCCATGTTGCTCGACCACAATGAAGGGCAGGAAATTTAGACTGCAACGAGAAATTGAGAGTAAGTTGGAAAAGGCCGAACTTTTGTTTAAAGCAGATGACCTACTGACCTCTCAGATACTTATTGCAAGGGGTTTTAAAGAGCACAGAGTGTAGCACTCCCCCTACAAGAGGCATCACTTACTTTCGCAAGAGTTTTAGGCTGCGAGCGAAGAAATCAGGGGATAATATATATCTATATTCTGTAATAGTCAAACCTTGGGATTTTTGTAATGAATTGATACACCGCATACTGTCTGAACAAACTCGTGAATTATAATATCGTTTGGGATATTAAAATGACTAGTCTTGCAAAAAATGGAAAAATGAAAAACAGCAAGAAAAGATTTCTAATAATAATTGTAAATAGAATACAATTGTTCTATGTCATTATATATTATCCCACTTTAAGAGTACAACTCAATGACTCATAGAAAACTTCATTGCCTATTAATTACTTATAATTATTAATCATAAAAAGAAATGTATGGTATTTAGTCTATGTTACGGATTAGGGAAAGCTAACGTCGGCGAACAAACTGCAAAATTATCTCATAAAATATATATTATAGCAAAATGATTACATAAATGAGGGTATGGACGGGGGTTCTTCATTTCTTTATTCTTTAACTTTTTATACCATTTTTCTCTATTCTTTATTTATTTCGATCATTATTCTCTATTCGTTTTTTTTTTCAGTACCATACAATTCTCTATTTTTCATTTTTGACCTATCTTTCTCTCTCTATATATTTTTTATGCTTTTATTCTGCCTTTTTTGCCCATTATTCTCTATTACATTTTTTGACCCATCAATTTCTGTATATTTTTTGCCCTTTATTCTATCTTTTTTGCCCATTATTCTCTACTTTGTAAACCCTATCCAGACCCTCATACATTTCTATGAAACAACCCTGTGATGCAATAGCCAATTAGATTTATTAAGCATTTGTTTTCTTTGATTAGCCTCTAATTCGAATGCATTATAAATTTAGACATGAGACACAAGAATATATTTTTGGCTAACACCACTATTGACATATACTCCGTCTGAAAATCCCAACAATAGCATAGGTACCTGGGGACAGGACAATTTTATGTTAGCCCTCCCTTTTTTCCCCCCAAAATCGTTTATTTATCGTTTCTATTAATTTCAATTATTTTCTAACAATATATTTATAAAATGAATGATAGTAAGTGAGTGGAAGTATCCTTTAGTGTCTTAGACTTGCGCTTTCATCCATCGGTATGGACTTATAAACACTGAGACGTTGGTATAGCCTAGTTGGTTGAATGGTCTAGGGCGCTGGAAATATTACAGGCGGTGTTGCCACGATGTCTAAGATGCAGGGGGTCGAATCCAGCTGCATGAGAGAAGAACAAAAATTTGGTAACGCAAATTTGCAGATCTAACATTGTTGGGCTATACTTATATACTCAAGACGTAGTATGTACAGGGGCGTATCCAGCCATTTATAAAAGTGGGAGGGGGGTGTTTCCTAACCCAGGATAAAGGGGGGGGGGGGGGGTTCCAACTATATTATCCCCATTCAAATGCATTGATCGTAAAAAAAAAGGGGGTTCCAACCCCCGGAATCAACCCCCCCCCCCCCCCCCCCCCGGATCCGCCACTGATGTATAAGTTATTAGTACACAGTGTGCGAGTGACCTAATACGATATATATTGGGTCAGTAAATCCCATATGGGGTGAGCGAAGCTAGAGTATTTTTACAACTACATGTACTTTATATGTAATATTCAAAACCGGCGTGAAATGTAGGTATTATTTCTGGTTTTATTTGGATTGTTGGAAAGCTGGCTCATATCTATACACATCACATTTTATTCACAATGGGCTAAGAATGCAAGTTAAATGTTCGCAAAGTGTTCCTTAATTTACTGGCCTTCAAGTCAGACTTTAAAAATTAAGGTTTAATGTGAAATCATATATTCATACAATTATCGGTACACAACATGTATAAACATATAAACATATAAAGATAAAATGATTGTATAAATTCTTTTGTAATAAAAATGTTATTAATGTTTAAAATTCACTGGCCCTAGTGCACTAGTGAAGTGTTTCTACTTGTAACTATATATAATGCAGATAAGTCAAACACATAGTTAACTGTCAGGAATATATATATATATATACTGTGAAGATATATAAACAATTGATTGTATTTCTATTTTAACATTACTTATTAATTTGTGTTATTGCTGCTTACAGGGTAGTTAGTATTTTTACAACTAAATGTACTATATGTAATATACAAAACAAGTGTGAAATATAGAAATCAATTCTGGTTTTATTTCCCTGTTGGGATGCTGGTTCGTCTCTACATAGACTCCACATCACATTTTATTCACAAGAATGTATAATGAAAAAATCACGTTAAAAATTGTGTGTTTTGTGTTCTTTTACACACCTTTAGTTATATTTCATGCATAGCTTTTAATTTTGAAATGGAATGAAAATTTGTAAACAAGTCCGAAGACCGATACTCGATTAAATAAAAACATCAACGGTACGATACGAAAACTGAATGCAAACTAATTTGTGTTACTTACTTTAGGGAATATGTTGTCTATAATACAGCTTCCATCCACGACTAGATCGATCCGGATAGGGAACGGCAAATAGCTATAGAAGATAAACAAATCTTCTGTAATTATTAAATCAATTTCAGACATCAATTTCAGAAGGTTGTATTACACGCATAAACTACCGTAGTAATGATTTATATTTCCTTGTAGCAAATTACCACGAGAACATTGTCAGCTGTAAAAATGTATACACACGTGTTCGATTGGTTGATTTGAAATTTTGGCTAGGTTGATTTATAAGAAATCTAAAGGGAATTGCTTTTAAAATGTTCATGCTTACTAAATATTCGTTTCTATTCCATTTAACACGATGGGCTACATGTATTAAATGTGTTGCATTTACAAATATTGAAAAAAGGACCAACTAAAACAAAAACCGATAAAAAAGATAATACACAGACAAACAAATAAACATGATATCAAACAAAGGTCAGCCCACCCCTAAAAAGAGGGTAATTGCCCTACACAATTGGTACATACATTTCAATTGTATATACGGAAGAACCAAATGATGAGCTGATTCATTTCTAGTTTTATCTGGAGAATAAGCTATTATATATTTTTATTTTTTATTTATAAGATAATCATTTAAAAATATACTACACCCTAGCTCCTGATGCTAGTATTATGAGTTATTTACAATTGTGTTTGTTATTTTTGTAAAATAGACTCAATTATCTTTGCTGTGCGACATTATATAACACGGAGCATGGATTCAAAAGTTTACAATTTTGGTTTGGAACATTGTTAAGACATGACGCTCAGCGACTTTATTCAAAAAGGTTCAGCAAAATTAACAGTTGCGAAAAGGTTTGTAGATATCGGGTTAACGGATGGTTTCCTCATTAAATTCGCAAAATATTCACATATCAGCGTCCATAATGGTACAAAAATTTACGGAAGCACGGAGCACACGATATGGCATGGTCACATAAATCTTACTACCAAATCTCAGGAAGCTCTGATTGGCAGTTCCTGAGAAAAGAACGACGTAGTTTTATGTAACGGACGGACGGAAACGGCAACGGATGAACAAACAGACGTAAACCAGTATACCCCTCCTTTGGGTCGAGGAATGATAAATTGTTGTTTGTGCAAGTCCCTGGTACCTCAAAGTTAACGAATGCAAAATGTCCGCTGCTTTTGTATAGACAAAATTTTCAATTTCGAAACCATTCTGCAATGTTAACGGATGCGGGGTTTTAATGACGCTTCGTGAATAAGGTCTCTTAACTACAAAACCCTTTATGAAAGTATTAGAAAACACTGAGACATAAAATTTGCATCTACAGAATTTCGTAAACTATTATGATAGCGTTTTCTTTAATTAAACGAAATAAAACGCTACACAAACCACAAACGCAAAAAAGGGACATAAATCTTCAAAAATTTGTAATCTGAGCATGCTGAGTACATCAACATTAACTGTTACATCCAATATTTGCTTTACTATGTATTGGAAATACAATTAAATCTTGCTATTGGTCAGGAGATTATCACTTGATTTTGTGAGGCTCATGTGTGTGAAATGAAATCGTTTTGGCGTTTCATGCGATCATGGCGTAGCTCTATTTACTAGTATTTCAATCTTCTTATAATGTATCGTATACTAATCTCGCAGTGTGTCGTAATTTGAATCTTTTTTCGATCTGGCAAGCGATAAGAGAGGGAGAAATCTCAGGTGCGAAATAGGTATTTATATTACTTCTAAAAGATAAACAGCAAAAAATAAATCGCACGTGTTCATAAATCAAAGCCGAAGCAATTTAGTAGATATATGTAAACAATGACTGTCAGTTATTTATTAACTAAAGTTACTTCTAACGAAAAACGATAAAATTATTACATTGATGGGGGCTTTGAATTAACTTTTCAACTAGAAATATCAGCTGTTTAATTACAAAATTCATCGTTCATCATGTTCAAACAATCTTTCAACTGTTATTGATTGACTTCTGTATTGGTAATATTTAGTCGTGCTTTTATATTAGTAAGACAAATATCATATAATGGGAATACAAGGTTATGAATATTCAAACCTATCCATAATTATTGGGTTCTTTTCTCTCTCCTTTTGTCAATATAATGCACCGTGTGGCCAAAAAAAAGAAGAAAATGAACAGTCAATGTAATGATACGTGTGGTCAAGTAAGGGGGAAAATGAATAGTCATTACAATATACCGTGTGGCCAAGTAAGTGAGAACATGAACAGTCAATGTAATGTACCGTATGGTCAAGTAAGCATGAACAGTCAATGTAATGTACCATGTGGTCAAGTAAGTGAGAACATGAACAGTCAATGTAATATACCGTGTGGCCAAGTAAGTGAGAACATGAACAGTCAATGTTATGTACCGTGTGGTCAAGTAACTTAGCATGAACAGTCAATGTAATGTTCCATGTGGTCAAGTCAGTGAGAAAATGAACAGTCAATGCAATGAACCATGCGACCAAATAAATGAAAACATGAACAGTCAATGTAATGTACTAGTAATGCACCGTGTGATCAAGTAAGTGAGAACATGAACAGTCAATGTAGTGCACCGTGTGACCAAGTTAGTGAGAACATGAACAGTCAATGTAATGTACCGTGTGGTGAAGTTAGTGAGAACATGAACAGTCAATATTATTGTTCAAGTAAGTGAGAACATGAACAGTCAATGTAATGCACCGTGTGACCAAGTTAGTGAGAACATGAACAGTCAATATAATGTACCGTGTGGTGAAGTTAGTGAGAACATGAACAGTCAATATTATTGTTCAAGTAAGTGAGAACATGAACAGTCAATGTAATGTACCGTTTGGCCAACTTGACGTAAATGAGAAAATGAACAGTCAGTGTAAAGTACCGTGTTGACCTATATTATATATTTAATCTTTTACTTATCAATCAATATGTATTAGATGTAAGCATCTAATATATGAGGGGCGTCAGCTTAGAAGATATCAGACGATTACAATTGATTTACATAGAAGTAATAAATGGATATTTTTATATTTTCTCTTGTTCTAAAAACAGCAATTAGTTTGGATAAAGCAGGAAAAGTGTCATCTTCACAAATTTTCCAGATGCAGTAACACTTTCAGAAGTTGTAGTTATGGATTTGAAATGAAATATTAATTGCGTCTATTTTTCTGTCATCAAATTGATACCTCATCACTGATTTTTATGGCAATATTAATTGCTGTTCTATCTTGTCTTTCTCTTGTTTAATTGCTAAAAGCCGAACTTTTTGCTGATAAAAATTCTTCTATGTATGAAATAAAAAAAAGCGTTGAAAATAAGAAGCTCGATAGTACATCTGGTTTGATTATACCATTGACCGTTCGTTTCTTGATCAAAGCTCAACATTAACATAAAAAAGATTGATTAAGTAAGGGTTGCTTGTTCTCCAGGCGGAATCAAACGAGTTTCTCTTGACATATTGACTCCGTTCAATAACCGACTTTTTCGTTTTTCGTTTTTTTGCCATAGCATTGTCAGTTTGTTTTCGACTTATGAAAACAAAAAAAGGAGGGCAAAAGAATTGTCCTATTTCCATTGAAGTACCTGTTATATACATATCTATATACATTGTATATACAAAACTTATGTTTTAATGGTTTTTGGTGTACTTAAATTCTTGTTAATTATAAGTGCGTAATCACCTAAATTGTAATTAATCAGGTTTTTTTTTCAAAATAAATGTGCAATGCACATACAAAGTAAAAAATGCTGTCAACGGTCAGGTCCCGCATAGTACACATGTCTCGCTCTACTTGCTCTGTATAGGCAGTTGCAGTCTTTCTTTCAATGGTGTTGTTTCTAAATTTTCATTTTGCCAAACAATAATTGTAAAATTGGAAACACATTCGGCAAAAATAGACTATTCTATACAAATATATCATGCTTACAAGGGGTATTTGCCAAAAATACCGGTTGAGAGGTATAAATTTCCAGAGCCGTTAGGCGAGGGAAATTTGAATACCTCGAAACCGGTATTTTTGGCAAATACCCCTTGTAAGCATGATTTAATTGTTTGATTCCACCGAATGTTATTTGTATCCATCTTGACCTCAGAAAGTTTATTGTAATCAGGTATATCATATGGAGTTTCTTCTTGAATGTATAATTTTTGTATATACTGCAGCTGTGCTGTTAGCGTTTGCATTGGCCGTATAATGATTTCTGATCCTTTTTGATGTACAGTCACTGACCGTATATATACATTGTATCTAGATATAAGAAGATGTGGTATGAGTGCCAATGAGACAACTCTCCATCCAGGCCAAAATCCACAAAAGTAAACCATTATAGGTCACAGTACGGTCTTCAACACGGAGCCTTGGTTCACACCGAACAGTAAGCTATAAAGGTCCCCAAAAATTACTAGTGTAAAACCATTCAAACGGGAAAACCAACGGTCTAATCTATATAAAAAACGAGAAACGAGAAACACTTATGAACCACATCAACAAACGACAACTACTGAACATCAGATTCCTGACTTAGGACAGGTGCAAACAAATGCAGCGGGTTTAAACGTTTTAATGGTACCAAACCTTCAACCTTTTTCGGAAACAATAGGGTAACATCACAACATAGAAAGATACACTATAAAATATCAACTGAAATAGCTTAACTCAATCAAAGGACATATTAACACCATTGAACATACACTGAACAAATAAATTTGACCTATGATACAATGTAAATACTACCTGTTTATGATAAGCTGGTTTTAGACTACTACACTTTGTTCATCAGCTTGAGTGAAGCGTAATACAAGCGGATTCCAGTTTATGTTTATGACCGGTTGACAATGCGTTTCCGTTGAGTTTTATTTAATATGACGTCATTAAAAGTACAGGTTCGCGGAATAGTTACGTCATTCGCTCCAAATTCAATAATGATGTTTTTATCCTAAATATTTCATTTGGAACCGTATATTTAGAATGACCATAAATTTGTCCTATTAGAATAGAAATAATTCATTGGGTTATTTTTAGACATGGTATTCCCCATCTGCCATGGTATTTGTTAGCAAATACCCC